ATCAATGTTGATGCAACATTACAATTGAAAATTCCATATGTAACGTTGCACTGATATTGTTCGTAGTTGATCCATGTAATGTTGCAATTTCAATGAGAATATATAGTTGATGCAATATTGCTATTGAAACTTAATTGAAAGGGTCATTTTGTAACTTACAAACAATTTGTCAGTAAGTTTTTCTGTTATATCGTCAACACGAATATAGCAGCAAAATAGATACAATATTGTATTTTCATATTACGGAAGAAAGCTTCACAATATATTGTGGCAATATTTTGTAACATTACATGTTTAGTGGGAACTCGACGTCACAGGGTGTTCCCGCTTCCGCTACAATACTCCCCTCCAGCGGACTGCCAAGTGAGGACGCGAAACAAACAGGATGAATATCCACTCTCGTCGTGCCTGTGGTTGTGCTAGGAGGAATATCTTCAGACTGTCTATCAGATCCATATTTCGCTGGGTTTCTGCTGTAGGTACGTAGCGAAGATCTCGGCAAATTTTGTTCTGAAACTCGAGTCTGATCAACCTGCTCTTCTAAGCATTCCTCATTGAGGGAGTATGCTGGTTTCAGTCTTTCAATAGAAACATTGACATTCTTATCTTTCACACGTATGGTGAAAACTCTGTCAGAGAGTCTGGTGACTACTTTGAAAGGCCCTTCATAAGGGTGCTCTAATGGCTTACGTGTAGAGTCTACTCGCATAAACACATGCGAACATGAATGAAGGTCTTTATATACAAAAGTGCTCAATTTCCTATGGTGGGCCGATGGAGTCGGTCTCAACCGTTGCATGCACTTCCTGAATTTTTCCACGAAAATGTGAGCTTCCGGACGATCCAAATCAGCAAACACAAATTCCCCTGGAACTTTGATTGTCGTGCCATATACAAGTTCTGCTGTTGAACACTGGAGATCTTCTTTTATCGCCGATCTCAAACCAAGCAGCACCGTGTCTAGAACGTCGATCCATTCCTCGCTTGCGTGACACCGTAGAGCTGACTTCAAAGAACGATGAAAACGTTCCACAATACCATTTGTTTGAGGATGGTAAGCTGCAGCCCGTGCTCTGGTACACCCTACTAAATTTGTTAATGCCGCAAACAGTCGAGCTTCGAACTGGCAACCTTGATCGGTGGTGACCGTCTGCGGGCAACCAAATCGACAAACCCAGGACTTATAAAATACTGAAGCCACTGTATCTGCCGTGATGTCCTTCAAGGGAATGGCTTCAGGCCAACGTGTGAATCGATCAATCATCGTGTCCAGCAAGCACTGAACGTATATGGATGGGCAGCCTCTTCAAAAAAATTGATCGTAGAATGTTCTCTGAACATTGACCACCAGAGATACCGCGTAAACGGATGAGCAAATCAGTAGGACGATCTTCATGTATTTCAGAAGAATGTAGTAATCGATCTAAACGTTCTTCTTCAGTTGCTCCAAGGTACGCCAAAATTCGATTTTTGAGGGTGCTATATCTGTTACACTCTGGAGGGGATCGAATCAGATCATCAACACATGGTAATAGAGTTTGATCAAGATGAGCCACCAGGTAACGATATCGTGTGAGATCACCTGTAATTCCTGCTAGATCAAATGAAGTTTCAACTTGAATGAACCAAAGAGCCGGATTCTCTTTCCAGAACGGCGGGAACTTCTCGATTCGAGATGCATTTACAGAGTGGCTTGCTGATTGGGATATGAAAGGATTTGAATTCTCGCTTGAAGTTGATGCATTCATACCATCTGTGTTCTCCATATTCTCTGAGGATCACGTCGGGGTCACCAATTTTAGAGTACACAATTATAATTGCAATTGGGAGATAATGATTTAATGACAACTATCTAAAAATTCCAATGTCACAATTATTGACTGATTCCTTGACAACTCCTATTCCTTATGTTATTTGAACATCCTCGATAAGAAACCAACTCGACGTCACAGGGTGTTCCCGCTTCCGCTACACTGTCATTTCGAACACTGCCATCTATCAGGTAGTGCCTGAACTACCACATCCTAGTTTCCTGCATTATATTCTTTCAAGAAATGGAGTTTACCGAGATCAGCTGGGATGAATGGATATTTTGTTGACAGAATAATCGTTTTTGTTGCTTCCTGTCCGAATGGAACCATTTCAAGAGCTGATATTTCAGTGACACCTCGCCGAATTTCCAACAATTGTACTGAGATCGAAAATATTTCAATTTGAGACAAAAAAAATTCAATGTTTACGTTTTTCAAAAATCTGTATCTTCTATAAATAAATGAGTTTCGACTCCGTATGATAACCAGGCCCTAGTCCCAACCTTCTTCTTTACGATGATTTAATCAGTTTTTCAATTGAATCATTCATAAGCCCAAATAGCAACAACTAGTGCAGGCCTGCATGTCGATTTGGTTGAATCTCTCCTCTTAAGGCAAAATAGTATCACTTATGATATTATATACATATGACAATTTATACTTTATAGTCTGCCAATTGGAGTGGAATGGTCGAAGCAGAGTTCAATCCATTTTAGTAGAAGTAATTTGATCTTCCTCGTAACGATACCGCACATTCGCATACAAATTCGGTTCTAGCTGGAGGCCTGGTAGTTGAGAGATCTGTGCTTGAGGTGCCATATCTGATAATCTTTTTTGGATAAAAAGTTTCGTTATTCAATAAGGATTCTAGAATTCCATATTCAAATAGAAATGAATGGCTGAATATGGAATTATGTGCCTTGTAACATGTATGTGCATGTTTCATGGCCTCTCTCTCGATGATGAGCTTTTGTCTTACGGAATTAGCGGACTAGTTAGTAGGTTATGTCGTCGGTGGTCTTAACAGTATTCGCCTTCACAGCATACTTGCAAACCACTACTTGAACAAAAACAAATTGATTGAGAAAACAAATCATGTTCATTCGGATTATTGAATTGTTGATTATCCATTCCCAGTATTACCACAACATCATTACTATGGATAGTATTTCATGGACAATTTTTTCAAGAATGTTTTCCCCCTTTAAAAAATTAGGTCCATTACATTTTTGTGGGAAATGGAGCCACACATCAATTTTTCCATCACCTTCTGTATTCTTAATTTTAATTCTAACTTCTAACCAGTCTCAACAATTCACACATTTGCAATTATATACTTATATTCAATCACTGCAAAGACAATACATTGTTTTCAATTACGTGGGATAAACATATTTTTTATGTAAAAATCTAATCCTTCCTGCAATAATATATACAATAATTACAATAGTATTATCAATACAACATTCTCAATGGTACAAAATGAAGATAATATAAAAAAATATAAGGTTTGTTTTTTGTTAACATCATAGTTCCTTAAATATTTTCTTCTCACTTTTTCAACTATGTTCCCCATTTTTCTTTTTCGAATATTCACAGAAGACAAAGCAAAAAGAAGTAACAGTTTGTGGTATCAAGGAATTCAGAGGAGTAAGAAATCTTTCAAATTGCCTTATGAGCTGCAAGTCATATTCATTGATTATGGATTTAACTATTTTGGCGAAATCAAATTCAGTCTACATTGAAGTCTATGGTACAAACAGCAGGTAACGGTGGATCGAGAGAGGATTTTTTTTCTCCAAATGACATTAAAAGTGGCTTGTTAATGACACTCAACAGGCATAAAAGGTGTACTTTTACTGTCTTAGAAGGAAAAGTTTGTTGCCATGCAACGTTCCAAGTAATAATTTGAATCAAATTGGTAATCAAAATTGACAATGACTGGATGAACACAAAATAATGGATTATTTGAACTTTGCGTGAAATTGAAACGAATTTGGAGAACAATTATATATTTCACATTGCAGAAAAAAAGATTCAATGCCTTGGCTGGTTTCCTAGCCTTCTACGCCTTAGCTATGAAACGCCAGCAGTGGCATTAAATCTTGTGCTTTTCTGCCTATTAAGAAAAATAACTATTTTGGGATGCTCTACTCAAGTCTGTCTTTGTTCAAAATTCCATCAGTTCTTTCCCGAGTAAAAACTACTATCAAATTTTGTAGATTTCAGAAATAAAATTGATTAAAAAATTGTTCATTTTGACAAGGGTTATCAGGATAGCATGAATGGAGAGAATAAAAAATTCACATTCCTTAGGGGATTCAATAACATCATGTATTATACAGTGTGTTGCAGGTTTCTGATTCAGAGAGGTGATAGAGACTAGCAAAATTAGAACTTTTTTGATCAATATACCCCAGAAAATGCACCATAACTGGAATTTAGGGCGTCCAAATTTAGTTAAAAAAAAATCTTGATTATTCCATGACTGAGGAAATTCTAAATAAGTGTTTCTTCTCAAATCAAGACACACCACTCAAAGTTTTTGAACAAATTAGATATAAAGTAAGTTATTCATTGAATTATGATACATATCCAAAAATACGTTTCAATGAAAAAAAAATTATGTCGGTTTCGTTAAATGTATTGATGATTTCCTATTGAAAAATATAAATAAAATATATCTCCCACTCCGGTTGGAAACGTAACTTCTGTATCCTTATTTATAGATTGCTATGCAATTTTCTAAGGTGTGTTCATTGAGCAAAGTCCCCAATTCCACAACTCTCTACCATCTCTCAAAATTGATGTAAAAAAAAATCTTATCGATCCTGTATATACTGTGTTACTAAGCAGACTCATTTGATCTTGAAAATGAATGATACATAACTTGCAGCAATCCTGTTAAACTAAATATTTCAGTTTGAGAGAAATATAGGATACATTTAGTAATTCTCCAGATGTTAAAAAATGGGTAAAAACAAAATATTGTCACTGAATAATAAAAATTATGAAGGATAATTTCTATTCTGTATCCGACTTTCCTAGAAAATTAGATAGACGGAAAATCATTAATCCTAGCAATATAAATAAAGCTTTGGTAAACTATTCTACAGTGGTTTCACTCATACACATGCACTTGACAACAGTTATACAATAAATGTTTTTCGTTTACGAATTGGACCAGGTTCAGTCCACGTTGTCCTGGAATATCAATCGCACGTAACCCGGCGATCCAGACAAAGGTGATGCACAAAACGGACACACAGCGTGAAAACCATTGGTGCCATGCGGTATTGCCACATTTGCCCAATACCTGCAAAAATACAGTTTCGATTGACTTTTTTATGTGACGCTTGCTCAATTAGTTTTTATATACTTATATAAGGGTTATGGCACATCGACAGGAAATCATTGTTATTAACCACAAAAAAAACAAGAGTGATTCACTCTCGGATGGCAAGGGTGTTTCACATTTTCTGAATATTGCAAAAATTACTTTTTTCTGCAACCGACACAAAAGTCTTCCATTTTAATACCAAAATTAGCTCTTGAATTGACGTTTCTATTATTGACACAAAAACAGGTATGTTGCTAGGCAACACATTTCGTTCCTAGAAGCTAAAGTTGAACTTTAGCTCCTAGGAACTAAAAAGAAATAGAGGTCATCAAGAATAATAGTAGATTGTTTTATTAGGATCAAAAGTGACACTTTGTTTGACAAGCGAATTTTGCATTTGCGACGCGGAGCGTTTAGCGAAGCCGAGCGAAAGCAAAACTTGCGAGTCGAACACCTATATTAGAATTACAATTATCTCAATCAATAAAAGTTTGCTATGGTTGAACTGGAACCAGGTTAAAATATCTAGTTTTAGGTTTAAATATTGAAACTGAAACATTTGATCTTGAGTAGAATTTTTAGGTTATCTATAAATGCACTGTGAGCTCAAATACTTTGAGAGTAAAAGATCACAAATGAAACCGCTTGTATTGGTTAACTACCGCAAGAGATGGGTTGCATGCAAGATCTGTCAGATGACCGACCCTGTAGGTAACATATTGAAACACAACCTCACTTTTCTTATAGGTCGCGTGCAAGAACTGTCAGATGACCGACCCTGGAGGCAAAACATATTTGTTCACAAGTGATCGAAATAGTTTTCCACAATTATTTTGGCATATGAATCGTATTTTTCCGCTATTCATCAATTCGCTAATGCCATCACATTGTGCTGTTGAAAAATGCACAAAAACTGCAGCGGAAGATGAAGAAATCCGGATGGTACATTATGATTCAGAAGTAAGTACCTACTATAGTCACTCACATAGTTTTCATTTTTGAAATTTTGTTATTTCTCTGATTTCTCATCGGAATTCCTTCTGCAATAGGATCAGCTAATAGAAATATACCTGAAATTTCTAGAATAATGCAAGAAGATTGGATTCATGCAATCAATCGGTAGGACTGGTCTGACATGCTGACGATCGTGTGTGTTGTAGACATTTTCAATCTATTAGCAGCATTAGCTTGTATTGCAGAAGTGGCAGAAGGCAGAAGGAATTTTAATAAGGAATGCCAACGTTTCATAATGATAACTATGTGAGATTACTATTTACCTGAAAAATCATATTCCCTACTCTCTTGCTGCATTTTTTGTGCATTGTACAACAGCACAATGCGAAGGCATGCTTGAATTAATGAATAACGCAAGAAACACGATTCGTATGCCAAAATATTGTGAAAAACTATTTCAACCTTTTGATTCCTCTGTAACCAAATAAAAAAGTGAGGTTGTGTTTCAATATTTTGCCTCCAGGGTCGGTCTTCGTGCACGCGACCTATTGGTTTACAAATGATTGAACTAGTTTTTCACAATTATTTTGGCATTCAAATCGTGTTTTTCGGCTATTCATTATTTAAAGCATGCCATCACATTGTGCTGTGGTACAATGCACAAAAAATGCAGCAAGAGACGAAGGAATCCGATTTTTCAGGAAGATACCTACATTGTGATTTAAAAGTACTATAGTCACTCACATATAGTTTTGATTTTGTAATTTTGTTATTTCTCATTGTAATTCCATCTGCAATAGGAGCTAATTTAAATACTCATGAAGTTTCTAAAAGAAGGGGATACATGCAATCAAACGGGAGGACTGGTCTGACATGCTGACGATGTGAGTTGTAGACATTTTCACTCTATCAGTAGTATTAGCTTCTATTGCAGAAGTGGCAAAAGGAATTCTAATGAGCAATGACAAAGTTTCATAATAAAAACTGTGAGATCGCTATTTACCTGAAAAATCACATTCCGTCATCTCTCGCTGCAGTTTTTGTGCATTGTACAACTGCACAATGTGATGGCAAGCTTGAATTAATGAATAGCCCAAAAAACACGATTCGTATGCCGGAATATTGAGAGAAACTATTTCAATCCTTTGATTACTTTGGCTATATTCCGAATTCAACTGGTCAGTACTGTCAGTGTGTTATATTATTGTGCATGACCCTGTAGATATTTGGTTGAACAGACAGTTGTCATTAGAATTATGAGAGATGTCATAAAAATACACGTTCTCATGAACTCGATTCTTAAATGATTATTCCCCAATAGCTCCTTGCTAGAGGCTACCTATAGTATCTATTACATGGTGTCAGGTCATACACAAGGAATTCAAGAATTTTTAGCAGCGAAATAGTTGAAAGTATCAGAAAGACTAGCATGGAAGAAAAAATCAGACAATTGGAACAAAAACTGAAGAAATATGAAGAAACTGGACCAGTACAAGTTGAGAATACGAATTTGAGCCTACCATTACCAAGAGCAATTAGTTTGGAAGGAAATATTTCCGAGAATTTCAAGTTTTTCGAGCGATCATGGAATAACTACGTCATTGCAAGTGGATTGATCAGGAGATCCGAGGAAGAAAAAATTGCAATATTACTGACCGCGGTAGGAGAAGAAGTATTCAAGAGATACCCAAATTTTGATATCAAACAGCAGGAAAAAGGAAGTTGTTCTAGTTTGTTAGAAGGAATTGAAAATGATGTTAGAAGAATTAGTGAAGGACCAGATAATCATCAAAGAAAATGAATATACGGACTGGACTAGTAATATTGTCTTAGTAAGAAAGAGTAACAACAAGCTCCGATTATGCATTGATCCTCTGAAAGTAAATCAAGCTCTCAAAACTTTCAAATACCAAATACCCACTCTTGAAGAATCGATTCCAGAATTATCAAATGCAAGAATCTTTACTACCTTAGATGTGAAAAATGGTTTTTGGCATGTTGAACTAGACAAAGCAAGTAGTAAATTAACATCATTTTGGACTCCATTTGGAAAATACAGATGGTTGCGGTTACCATTCGGTTTGAGCCCATCCATGGAGATTTTCCAGCTGAAACTACATGAGGTGATACAGGGTATTGAAGGTGTAATATGCATTGCAGACGATCTACTTGTATTCGGGTGTGGAGAAACGGATGATGAAGCATTAGCGGATCATAACAGGAAATTGAGAGGTCTTCTAGAAAGGCTGAAACAGAGGAACGTCAAATTAAATAAGGACAAAATTAAATTATGCCAGCATGAGGTAAAATTTTTTGGTCACATACTAACTAGCGATGGTGTCAAACCTGATGAAGAAAAAGTCGAGGCGATAAAGAATATGGCGGCTCCGAAAACAAAGACTGAAGTGATGAAATTCTTAGGTATGGTGAATTATCTTGGCAAATATATACCCAAACTGGCTTATGTGGCAGAACCTTTGAGAAATTTGACACACTTGAAAGAAGAATTCATATGGCAAGATAAACACCAGAATGCTTTTAAAGAGATCAAAAACATTATTCAGAAAGAGACAATTTTGAAATACTTTGATACTAAAAAAGAGGTCACTTTACAGACTGATAGTTCATCATTTGCAATTGGGTGCTCACTGCTGCAAGATGATAAACCAGTTGCATTTTCATCAAGAATGCTAACTCCTTCACAAACAAAATACTGCCAGTTAGAAAAAGAAATGCTCGCTATAGTATACGCATGTAGAAAATTTGATCAGTACATATGTGGAAAAAATGACGTAACGATTCAAACAGACCATTTACCGATCATAAGTATTCTGAAGAAGCCATTGATAGAAGCTCCAAAACGTCTTCAAAGTATGATTTTACAATTGCACCGATATAATTTGAAGGTGAAGTACGTAAAAGGTTCAGAGATGTATATTGCGGATTTGTTATCAAGACTTCCAGAGGGTAACGAGAAAACTATCGATGATTATTATGATATATATGAAATTCGGGATTTAATGCAGGAAATCGAGAGTGTGAATGCCTTGGAAAATATCGCTATATCAGATAAGACATTCAGAGATATAAAAGAAGAAACCATGAAGGACGAAGTAATGAAGGAACTGTATGTGATTATTCAAAATGGCTGGCCACAATCAAATAAAAGTGTGCCTACATATTTACGCCCTTATTGGCAATTCAGACAAGACCTTCATACACAACATGGACTAATTTTCAAATGTGATCGAATCCTTATACCACCGAATATGCGGAAAGTAATGTTGGATAAATTACATTGCAGCCATCTAGGTATAGAATATACAACAAATTTAGCTAGGGAGAGGATATTTTGGCCAATGATGACGGCACAGATAAAAGATAAAGTTCAAAGTTGCGAAATTTGCATGAAGTTTTCGAGAAGCCAACAAAATCCACCAATGTTATCATCTGAAATCCCAGAACTACCATTTGAGATAGTTAGTATGGATGTGTTTGAAATAACCATGAGCAATATAAAAAAAAGAATCTTGATAATCGTGGATCACTATTCTGATTTCTTTGAAATTGAAGAACTCAAAGATATGTCAGCGAAAACAACAATTCAGATGTGTAAAAAAATATTTAGTAGACATGGTATACCAAGAAAAGTCATAAGTGACAATGGGACAAATTTCGTTAACCAGGAATTCAGTAAATTTCAGGATGACTGGAATCTTGAACACTATACCTCTAGCCCATATCATTCCCAAGGAAACGGAAAAGCAGAAGCAGCCGTGAAAATAGCAAAGCAGCTAATAGAAAAAAGTATCGAGAGCAAGAATGATTTATACGAAATGCTTCTGCTCGAAAGGAATACACCGAATAAAATAGGAAGTAGTCCAGCACAAAGATTATTTTCAAGAAATTTGAGATGTTCTATTCCTATCAAGGACACGAAGTTGAAACCCAAAGTTATAAGAAATGTTGATGCATCGATTGATAATCGGAAGAAAGAATCAAAATATTATTATGATAAAAGATCGAGAAATCTTGAAAGCCCATTGATTAATGAAGAGGTAATGTTCAAGAAAAATAAAGAGGATAAAATATGGAAGAGAGGGTGCATAGAAAATATAACAACTCCTAGATCCTTTGAAATCAAAACTAATGATGGAAACCTACTTCGGAGGAACTTGGTTCATGTTCGAAGATTTCCACATACATCAAACATGAATAGTGAAGATGCTCCTGGTCAATCTGATCCTGATCCTGGTCCATCTGATCCTGGTCCATCCAATAGATCTAATGTCATGAGAAATAGAAAGATGCCCGCCAGATTCGCAGATTTCCAATTAGATTGACCAGTTCAAAAAATTTGTTTATTATTGTTATTTCCTTTTGAGGGGGCATGTTATATTATTGTGCATGACCCTGTAGATATTTGGTTGAACAGACAGTTGTCATTAGAATTATGAGAGATGTCATAAAAATACACGTTCTCATGAACTCGATTCTTAAATGATTATTCCCCAATAGCTCCTTGCTAGAGGCTACCTATAGTATCTATTACACAGTGGATCCACTGACTCTGATGAAAAGTTGTGTTCCGAAATATAAAATCAAAAATACAGTGCTGTAATTCGGAACACGTTTTCATCAGTAAGCAGCAGCAGTTGATCAGCTGGTGAAATTTGTCAGTTGTCATTGATCTGGCAGATGCTCCTGCTTGAGCTAAATAAATATAACAGGCATTTTCTGATATCAATGATATTATTAATGTATCATTGATGAGCCAAGACTTAATATTTGAAAAAGAACGGAAATGAATGTGTCATTCCTTTCCCCTCAAAAATAATGACAGTTCACTGAAGCCACACTAGCTTTTGATAGTCAGCAATTTCAGCAGAATGTTGAGTCGAAATTTTTGGAATGAATAGTATATCTGTTCACGAGTATCTGTAAATTTTTTTGATTTCGGAATGAATATTCAGCAGATTCAGTACTCTCAGTTGAATTCGGAATATAGCCTTTGTAAACGAATAAGAAAAGTGAGGTTGTGTTTCAATGTTTTACCTCCAGGGTCGGTTATCGTGCACGCGACCTATAAGGGATCTGGTATATCAAATACTTACTTGACAGTCTTTTCTGTAGCCATATGGCCACAAGGGTTGAATGCAAATGTTGGAGGTCCAGAATCCACATAGAATGCTGGTTCTAAGCCCATAAACACTTTCACAACAGGTCCTAACTGAAATGAAAAAACAAGATCTGATTTTAAGATCAAAACTATTAATTATTGGTCAGAACGGCTCACATGTCCCCTTCCGAACGTTTGATTCACTATCTACTGATATTTAATTTGGACGAATACAGGGTATTTCAAAATTATGAATAAGTATATGAATAGTATGAATAGTTTCGACCCAAAAAAAATCCTGAAGTTGAAAAATACCGATAATGAACACCCTATCTCATTCCCGCTAGACCCGAAGTGTGATGCATTCATGAAATCAGCTCACAAAGGAGAATCCGAAAATGCAATGAAACACAGAGTGTCCCATAAGAAAAAGTATAACTTTGATACATCATGCATTTTTGAGTCACCCTGTATAACACGAAATATATTAGAAATATGCTGCTCATGAGTCTTGACCATCACAAACATTTCTATCTCAAACAGCGAAGCCGTTATCTCACTTTCCCATTTCAATGACTCACCCTACCTTGTATACGGGAAAAATTTTACTCATGGGAAAAAAGTGATTCATGAAAAGTGACATCTTATAACCTGTCAACATAGATGAAATGTTAAACTTATTTCTCGTCACTGAAAAAACAACTTTTGTGTGAGTGATATCTATTGGGACATAGGTTAAGGGGGGATTGTTTGGACCAAAATATGGCGATTGGATCGAATATGTCTTAATAAAATATTGCTGTGGAAAAGGATAAGAAGTGTCAAAGTTGAATATATTTTTTTTTGTTATTTGCTAATAATTTCACTGTATATTTAATCAATTGTTATCAAAATCGGCACAGAGGTTTGTACCACCAATAAACAATACATAGTTCATGAAATATTCTATTGTGAATTGTGTTTAGATGACTAACCTCTAGGCATATGGGACATTTTCTGGATCCAGTGTCCTTTTCGTGACCCCATTCGTGCAACCCTTGGACATGTCCGCAATTCAAGTAAACATACGGCTGTTGCATATTCTCATTCGGCGAAACTCTTCTCGGAATCACGAGGGTGTTGAGACCGACCGGACACTGAGGCCGCCCAGCGTTAATTTCGTCGATTTCTCGTTCCAAGTCTCGTTTACTCTACAAGAAAAATCAACTGGTTAGATACGAGATGGATACGAGGATAAATATTACCATACCATAAAAAACTCAAAAAGTATCAAGGTTCGAGAGAATGGTATCCTTTGATATGAAAAAATTAACATATTCAAGAATTCAAGATGCACACAGCGAAGTTCTACAAAATACTTTTAATTTTGACATGCGAGGTTTGATATTTCATTACTGTAGTTTTCCGACATTTGCTTAGTGTTTGTATTTATGGCCTCAACTGTTTTTTTTTCCACACAATTTTAGCCACTTGATCTCAAGGCACTTTTTTGGGTCAATTTTTATTCCAAGAAAGAGTCGTAGATTTTACAATTCTTGTATGAACGTATGTCTGGATCGATTTTCAACACTCAAATGATATATTCCTACTTTCTACTGCAACCATCAAACTCTACCTTTATCTTGGCATTTACCAAAGAATAATAAATCCAAATATGTGTCAAGTAACATTGACGACGAAATTACATATTTCATAATGAAAGCAGGTTCATCAACATGACATTCAATTAATCAGAAGAGGAGTTCAAAAAAACTAATTATCCTTCTGAATAACTTCTGAGAGCTGAGTTGACTCCTACAATCAGATTTCATCAAAATAAAGCCATTTGGGTAATCAAAGTTCCATAATATTGCTTCTACATTGGTAGAGCTCTTTAGGTTGGCAACTTGGAGCCTATTGGTCCTATTAGGATTCACTGAATAGACATAATAATTTTTCCAGGTGTCATGATCTCATAATACTAATTTTTCACAACACATCGGAGTTTTCTCAACTTGAAACATTTTTGGATCTTCAGCGATTTTTCGGTATTAAGACATACAAAACTTTTTACATCGAAATAAAGATGGGAATCTGAAATTGGAGTTGGTCGGGCTTATTCTGATTCACCTTGTGTTTTGAAGAGGAAAACATACATTTATTTTTACAAACGTTTGAAAAATCAGACTACAATGGTAGGCGAGGGAAAACCTACTTTCCTAGCTACTGCCATGCATAACATCAAATTACATACTCCCGAAATCTATGCATTGATTCAATTAAACCTGATTCTTTCGTAAAAATGCCTGATTGTGATCGAAATAAGCTAGGCACATTTAACCACCTGCAGGTCGGTTTCGGGCTGCTATTAGTTCTCATTAATGCAGTCACCAGACAGAGATACGAAGACCTTCTCAATGAACCGAAAGATGAACCCCATCATGAAGTATGTATCCACCAAAGATACACAGCTGAATTAGACTTATTGGACTTTGAAGGAATATCTAATAGAGAGAAAGACTCCAAATATTATGGTTGGTTAGACGTGTCTAGCCTAATTCAAGCAGGATGGGCTATTTTACGAAAAAAAATCACTTGCAATCATAATAATTTCGGAAAAATGTTATTTTAAAAATAATTCACTAAATATATTGGACATTAAGACATTTTTGTGAAGATCTAGAAAAAAAAATCAGTTTAGTCAAAATATTGCTTTTCAAGCCAGGAGAGTAGTTGAATTTCGCTCGTTCATTCATTTGAGGATACTACTTGTTTCAGTCGGAGTCGTTTCCGGTGAAACCGGAAGGAATAGGAGAGTATGAAATATCGAAAATTTTTTCTTGATCCAACACCCCCACCAAATTTGAATATCACCATCAGAACTCTGGAAACTATAGCTGGGCTAATGAATACGCCGACACTCGGTATTTATATCTTTAATGTTTTAGTCTTTATAATAGGACATAGCGGATCTCTCCAGTTGTTAATTTCACGCTTTGTCAATAGGATGAATGATTATTGAACAATGAAGCTAAGTTTTGATTCATTGATTGATCCATTCCTCTTTGAGAATTCAGATTTATGTTTTTTATTATAACTTTTTATTCAATTTAAAGAAAACAACTTACAGGTGATTTAGCTAATCCTTCAGCAGAACGCCACAGCAAAGTTGCTCCACAAAGATCAATCAAAGTACCGTCCTGCAGTACATTCGACACTTCTTCGACCTGAAAATGATCCAATAAAACAAATGCATTTTCAATGAATTACCAATGAATTACCACTTGGCCCCTTTGCTGTGCAGACCTGGACTCTCTCAAAGAAAAAATACCACCACCGACAGATGTTTCCAGCCAATATCCGCATTTCGCTTCGCCTCCACAGAAACTACCTCTGGGGTGCATAATGAGGACACCGTTTGTCGTACATCCATCTATTTCTCGGCCGTTTTCTTGCCATTTCAATGATTTCTCCTATGAAAATATACGCATTATTAGTATCGTCGTTATTTTCATTTGTCATTTCAAATTTGGCACACTCTTTTAATGTCATAATTTTATAGTCAGGCATCCGATGAAACATAATCTAACTTCATTATTTTGCAATTATTCGGCAAATGAAATTTAGAAGCCAGTCTACTAGGAATAAAAATAGTAAAAAAAGTTCATATAAACATGATTCCAGAAATGTCCCCCTGGGGGCGTTAAAGCCATCTGAAGGAGAGCCCGAGATGAAGAAGAAAGTTATTTTATGCCGACTCAGGTTAGCGGTTAGAATATTTGGGAAAAGTATTATTTTTTTATAGTTATGCAGAAAGGATATTTTCTTTCTTCATATTCGATATTTCTATTTGCATACGTCAAAAGAGAAAGAAAATCCCCTTGTGTATCATGGACTGAAATTACATCCCAAATTTTGTTCCATATAAAAATATATATCATATTGAACTGATTGAATAGACCTGATCATTCGCTGGGGGAGGGTGAGGTCATATACGTAACTGCAAGAAATACATTACAGGCACATCAACGTGTCTCTAGCCGCACCGTTTTTGTGAATGTTTTCATAACTCTCTGCGATCAAATAACCAAATGTTTGTACATATACCTAACTTTTTTTGCCCAATTTGAAAATCTTAAGAATGTTCCGAAATTTTTATCAGATGCATAGGAAATAGGTGGGACTACGCACACTTTTTTCCCAACTTCTCTGATTATGCAATTTTTGGCAGTTTGACCAGGAAATATAAAATATGCCCGGCGCCTCCTGTCACGTGTCGCAACTCACCTGTTGACCCTCCTATAGGTCGTAACTTAGCTACTCGCTTGGCTTTCTGACGAGAGGTTTTGATCATTTCACCACCCAACCACATTCAACCCCAAATAAAGAGTCAAGACAGTTTTCATATAAAATTTGACATTTATTGATTGAATGAAAAAATCGTGGATAAATGCTTGCACATGGCAGGTTAGCAAAGAGAAAAAACAGAATGGCTTTCCAAATGAAACACAACGCAAAACAACACTTGAGAAAAACAGTACTTTCATTACAACGTCTAGCATGAAGTTGAACAGCAGGTTTGAAATTTTCCGCAATGAGAATGGCCATTACCTTTGATATTGCTTACCTAGGTATTATCGCACGGTAAGCGGTTTTTGCAAATTCTACATTAACTGACGTCTATGAACTCCGCTGACCTGATCGAAACTACACTGTACTGGATGTTTTAATTTGGAAGAATTAATTTATAATTAAAGATTTTGAAATGAACGCGAGTTATAGTGATGTTATTCCATAGGCATTTGTTTTGATAATATCATCATTTGCATCTACAATAATTGTACTCTTGTTTACTTTCGATAGCACCCACCATTTTCGAGATAGATTTCAAAATTATGCTGCTAATAAAAATAGTACTTTTTCTTGATAGGGTGGGTACTTACTATATTATTTTTAAATTTATTCTAGTTATTGCACCCCCCCCCCATTTCAAATTGAACATCAAAAGTAGATATTGATAGGGTGTATCTTCTATCAAATCATAATTTTTGGAAAATTCGGTACTCGCCGAAATTTGCAAAAACAAAAAAGTTGGAAGCAAGTATCCGTAGCCTCACCTATTTCTCACGCCCCTAATCAAAATTTCGGTTAAGTGTCAACATTAAAATAATAGGGCATAAAAATGTAGGTACATGTACAAAGTTTAGTTATTATATCACAGAAGGTTTCGAAATTATCCACATTAAACCATCAACTCCGGTTCTGCTTTAGATGATGATAACCCTCCTAGAGGGCCATTTTTGAACCAATGTTTATATTCACGTTTTTTACTGTTTTTGTTCCTAGAATTTGTGTTGCTAGATGGTTACATATGAAATATGCGCGGCAAGCGATGAACGAATGAATGCCTTTGTAAAAATAGTAAAATAAGATGGAACAATCAGATTTTATTCACAAATTCAAGATAATGTAGTGATTATAACTTACCCCTAAAAATATATTTCTAGACGTATCAAATCCAGCAGCATATATCCTCGCTATTTTTGTATTCACTCTATCACATAATATTCTACATGCAAACCTCGATATAGTACTTTGGTTAACTTTGGTCTCTCCCATTTTGTCTCCAGGAATTGTATCCATCACCACAAAATCTATGGGCGACTCTGATGATCTACCAATCTGAAAACAATAACAAGAAAATTATTGTTACATCAACAAACCTACCAACCACAACCACCAATTTATATTGGATACAAAATGTCTATTTTATATTCATGATTTTCGAATTTTTATTGAAATCATAACTGGACATTTTGTTACAGTTACAGTAATATATTGTCTCATCATATATTCTCTAAAACGACATTTCGTGTGTACCACTATTCGGATCTCGGAAACGATAGGAGATTAGAAGATGGTTAAATTAGGGCAGAGTTGCGCATTTATGTGACTAAAAATATGCCGTCGAGATCTCAATGGAGGCCCTCGAATATGAATTACTCAGTATAATATTAACTCATCTACATTCTATACTTCGTCAACCTCAAACTGAGGTAAATCATTTTCAATTCGAGAATAACCATTTTAAATAATAATGGATTTGAATGAACAGATATGCGAATTGTGAACAAAAATCTTCAAATCAAAATTAATTCTAATTCCAGATTGGTAATACATAGTTAGCGAAGCCCGTGTTGAGGCGTTTAAAAAAATCGGTTTGGTAAGTGGTAAAACAGTCTAGTGTGAGAATGATAAGTATCAATTTGAAGTTGAAAAGGTATACTTTGCAAACAAACTGACAAAATAACTTCGTGAATGTACGAAAGGAAATACACACGAGGGGTACAGGAATATTTTTCATTCCAAACTGCAACACAGAAAAACGAATTGACAAGTAAAACTGGGGTTTGGTTGAAACAACGATGTGTTTGAAAAGTAGTTGAAAATCTCACTACTGTTGATACCTCACCAGACACCTTAGAGAGGAAGTGAACCTATACATGAGTGTGTAATTATAGAGAGTGTAAATTAATAGGTTTCTAATCTTGCATCGTTTTTAAGATACAGGATGTTGAAAGTATTCATTATTTTCTTATGATCCAATTGTATAAGCTTTCATGGTGACTATTCCACTCTTGTTCTCGAGAACCAATCAGAATCGACCATTTTCACGGTTTCTTCTGTATTACAGCGATATTTTTTGTTCACACTATTTTATCGGACTTGCTCTACCTATACAAGTATACAGATGCCGAATTGACCAACACGTGACCAACCAACCTCGTTTTTCTGCGAGAAAATTTTTGACAATGTTAACGCCAATCATGTTGGAAGCCAGAATGATGGATGCAGTGTACGCAACTCTCGCGAGGCGAAATAGTCGATTGCCATACTCCAGAATGCTGATTTAATTTAAATTATTAGGCAACAAGCTGTCGTAACAATCGCCGACTATTTCCAGAGAAATAGTATCACTGGTGGTATTACATATGACAAAATTCAGCCTGGTTGATGATCGACAAAAATTTCAGAATATTACTGATTGAGGTTATCGAGTAATCTCAATAGTGTCTTGAGAGCACCTACATTAAAACTTTCATTCAAATTCATTTTGTTTTGTTTCCTCTAAGAGTCAAATCGAATTTTTATTGTTTCCTGAAAAACTAAAACTAGATACAAAACTAACACAGGGGACGAGAAAAACTGTGATTTCAATTTACTGTTCTATCTAAAAAAATACAAAAAAAACGAATTCCAGTGTTGTCCAAAGATATACACAATAAATATTGATAGGGAATCGCGCTGCGACGCCACTAGAATAATTTTTATCTCGAATTTGATTTCCCCTAATGAGGCTCCATGCTAGTTTTAACAAAATCACCAAGTTTTCGCGAAATCAACGAAAAAACTTTGGAGAAGTGACGAAAAAACGATTTTATTATGAGAATATTGAAACCCTATATCTCGAAAACCAAGCAAGTTAGGATAAATGTTTATAAATATGTACCTTTTTAATAAAATCAAGGAATCATTCATTCACACGTAATTCACACTCTGCATTCAAAGCATTGACGTCTACTCCATCAACTTCGAAGTTAAACATCTAATGAAGGAGTTACATTTTAAAGAAATTTTTTCTTTATCCAATTTTACTGGTTATACACGTTTGGCAAAAATAATTTTCCTATAGAGAAACGATTCATGGACGTTGTTGCCCCACCTACTCGAGTCTGGCACGTGTGGCAAACGATAATCCCTTCAGTCAAGCTGCAAAATGGACTCGCTCGAAGGAGGTGTTAACACGATACGAAGCGTATGACAACGTCGCTGCCCATGCACACGGTTTCTCTATGGGAAAATTATTCTTGCCAAACGTGTATAGGTACCAATAAAGAGTTTGTGGAAGGGGGTTTTACGAAATGCTTATAGACAAACTATATGGTAGGAGACAGTCATTTTTCTTGCTGCCTGTGCATGGAGGGTTTACCCATTGCCTAGGCCCTGGTTTACTTACTTTGGCCTAAAAATGTCAACCAATGAGATACGAGGAACAGCTTTCATCTGTCATGTCATTTATAAAGGTATGCTTTTTATTGGTTCCACTATTTTCAGAAATAGTGTAAGGTAGGGTCCCTTGATGCAAACTGACGTATTTGTCTTAAGATGGCTTTTACGTCAATTTCCATCAAGGGACTCTAGTGTAAGGATGTCAAAAACAAGCATAACGTGAGGTTTTATAATCTAAAAAACCCCCATGCACCAAAATCTTTAATACATCTTTGAATCTCGAATGAGCCAGTAAATTCATACCTGAAACATATCGGTGTCTTCATCGTTTGTATATTCCACAATGACGGCATGGTTTCTGGACAAGGTGTAAGATATCGAATGTTGGTTGGCATCTAAAATTGCTTGCGTCGAATGTGGTGTCTTGACTACATAATGCCGTAACCTCTTCACTCCGTTCGCCACTGGACGTTTGCAGAACACGAACTTGCTTCGTCTCCTGCCTCGGTCGCCTTGTGGCAAAAATCCATTATATCTGGAACAATATCGAAAGAGGTTCGATTAATCCAGAGCATTTTGACTTGACATTGCGGTGTGTTGTTTTCGAGTTATCGATTTTGATCCAAGAGATGCTGATATTGCTGATACCACAATAAATTGAATATTTATTCAAAAAATAGCAATAGACTGATGGTTGAGTGGAAGAGCGACTGTCGATTTATCGGCGAGTTGAGACAATAAAAGCATTTATTACTATTATTATAGAGAATCTACTATATAGTTTATATAATTCAGTTAGGATGTAGTGTAGTGTATCGCAGGCATGGACGTAGCCAGAATTTCATGAGTGGGGACAGAAGGACATTTTTTAATATAGTGCAACATATTGTGTGCAAAATATAATGGAATAAATGTGCATAGGGAAAACCGAAGGGAAAAACATAATGACATACCTATAATAGCACACTAAGAAATTTTAATTATTAAAATGAGCCAGCGGGTGTCTTCAGAGAATCTGATATTTCTTTGAATATCATCTTTTTCTCGAGAACTGTCTTTCTATGCACACTCAACATGCAAATCTGCTATTTCTATATCTTTCAACGCCTCTTTTGCAATTTTTCTTTCTGTCCAAAAGTTAAACCAAAATTTGCCTTCCCTAGAAAATGTTTCCATACTATAACTATAGTAACCTAACCAGCCCCTCTTTGGCTAGACTACTGTGCAACATTATTCTGGTTTAAGTGAGGGTTGCTTAGCTATGTTTGCACGTGTAGATATAAATAGTACAATTGTATATTTCGTGTAAAATAATTAATTCATCCATTATATTTGTAGCAGTGCGCCTGTAAGTAAGTAATCAACTTTTAGCTTTTGGAAAGGATATAAGGGAAATAGCAGTTGATAGGTAATAATAGCAGTTGAAGTGAACTTGATAAATGTAAAATGACATACCTGAAGGTGCTGAAGTAATGAAAGCACATAAACTGAAATAGACATATGACATGACTTACAACGTATAGTAAAATTTCAAAACATTTTGACAACAATATGTAAACCTTGTGAAAAATTGAAAATGAGTAATTGATAACCAGATCAGTAAGGAGCAATTATTTTACTGGTCTAATGAGAACCTATCCTTGAACCTATATCCAATATCTAACCAGTCTCTTATAAAATCTAGATGAAGTGTAACAAGTGATTAGACCAGGAAAAACTTTATTGAGGTTAAGCTCGGGTTAAGCGGATTGGATTTGAAGGAACATTTGACATTTTCAATTTTGTTTTTTATGTACTTAGTCAGATATTTAAGTTGAAATATGATTCAAAGGAGAGACGGAAAGCAAAAAGTCATCTCCACAACTTTTTTCAATGATGTGTTGAAAAAATATATAAAAAAAGTTGTGGAGATGACTTTGAGCGTTCCTTCCTTTCATGGAACAAGATAATTGAAAATATTTGGGCTGTATAGTTATTATTGTATTTTATTGGTTTCGAAATGTTCAATAGGCCTTTTCATTTAGTTGTGATTTTAACAGACATGCGCTGGATCTCAGATCCAAAATTTGGAGGGGTAAAGCGAAGTCTCATTGGCTATAGGTCCGACACAAAATTTGATTGGCCCATTCGGTTTTTATTGATTTTCTATCGATTGTCATTTGTCAACAGTGTCGACCACCAGAGGCGTTCGTCAACCATCGTTGCCAGACCTACTATTTTAACAGTAGATCTACTGTTTTTGTCTCCGTTCTACCACTCTACTGCTCTACTGTTCAAGGCAATGGCCTGAATGGTCATGTTATAATATGACATAACTACCTAATATGTAACAATGAATAATTATTGTGGCATCACAGTAAGAAGATGTATGATAAAAATATACCGGAATAATCATATTCAGTCAGATTAGTAAAAAATTAGATTTCATTTTCAGTTCGGTTGAGGATAATACAAATTTTATTTCTTATTTTATTATTTTTTGTTATCCTTTGTTCGATTTTTAATAGGTATAGAGATCAACCATAATCATGTTTTCGTTCAATATATAGGTTTCTATATTTTTTTCATCAATTATAATAGCAAATTGTGATGATTATCAAAATCTACTGTTCAGTTTTGATGATCTACTGATTTTTTTCTCACTCATCTACTGCTCCGGCAAATTTTCATCTGGCAACACTGTCGTCAACGTCAATCGTCATTGAGATTTGAGAAATGGCGTCTAGGTATTTTCGTTTCTAGTTTCTATATTTCATAATTTTCAATTACTATTCCTGGTGTGTATTGATTGTATTGTGATAATTCAATTAGGAATAAACGTGACTTATTCCTTACCGAAGAGTGTGGTGCAAGTTTTTTTGGTGAAAATGGTTTTGACATGTTTGTTTTGTTTGTAGCGCGGAGTGGAGTAATAGAAATAATTTCCGTTCATTTCACAGGTGAGTTTGATACCTTCATCCATTCCACTTTTCCATCATCTTAATTATAGATTTCATATGAATTGATAGACAGTGTCTACCTCTCGAATATTATTGAGTATATTTATAGAGGACAACATCTGGGGGAACAAAGAAAGATCTGGAAGAGTGGTAGTGGTGAGCAAATTATGTATCTGCTTCGTTCAAATCAAAAACTCAAGGAGCTTTTCTGACTAAAGTGCCGTTGACTGGATATTTCTACTGAGAAAATGTTCTATTATTGCATATTCTTATTAACCATTTATTTGTTCACAACCACTCTCAACGCTTTTCCACCTCCTTGTGGTCATTTTATTCTGTTTTGCTATTTCTAGTTATGGAATCATCTTGATTTCCACAATCTATCATTTTAGACATTTCCTAGTTATTGAATCTCTATTTCCACCTTTCACTTCTGACAAATATATACTAATAGTCAGCCAGTCCCCAAGATGGCATTATACTAATAATAATAATCTATTATTTTCTAAGAAACAAAATAATATACATGTTTATATCAGGAAAAACAGAACATAAATAATAATAAGTCTAGGAGTTGACCTCCAAGTTAACTATGACAGTGTATCTCAGTTGATAGGTACATGATATAAAATGTAAATCTTCAAATAGGTGATCAATATCAAAAATAAAATTGATATCAATTCATAATGTCAGCTGGAAATATAAGAAGAAGGCAATTTCTGATTCTGATGGTCATGAGGTTTTCTGTGAATATACTCAATTTGGTGTTTCTGTACCAACAATTATTATTATCTCACTCGTTTGATATTGAAATAACATGTTCAGTAGCATTCAGAAATGTTGATATTCTTATTGCTGAGTTAGACACTGTTTATTTTCAATAAATATCAACAATCCTTTTTGCATTTGTAAGTGAATTAGTCTATCAATATATTGATTGAAAATTCACAAGTCTTTCCTGAAATTGTAGAATTCCTATAAGGACTCTGAAAAGAGAAGAAAATGGGCAGAATTCTTGGAGCTGACTGACAATCATATCAATATGGATATAGAGTATACATGTTTGCACAGCTCATTTTCCAGATTATCACTTCATTATGAAACCTGGTGGAAAATGTTTGCTTGAAATGTATGACAATACCTATTCTGAGAGGTGGACCATCAATGAGGTGAGTAATTAATCAAACAACATTCAATTGTGACTCAATTTGAGAGACATTCAAAGGAATGAATGGATCCATCATCCATTCAAATTTTTTTGCTGATATTCATCATGCAATTTCTTCATTATTCATCCCAAAAAACATCCATTGTACCAAATAGCTTATAATATATATATATACAGTGTGTATCTGATGGATATCAAAACACTTTTTTTTTATTGGATAGGTATTCAAAATGTCGCTTCCTCTTTTCAAGCACCCTGTATTTCATGCTGATGCAAATCGGTGAGTACAGGTATGTTTCAAGTGATTCTGATTCAGAATTCATCTTTTTTTTAGTGAAGAACTATTATGATAAAAAATATTGCTCACTTATTCTTTTTCTTTTTTTTTCTCATACATTGTATATTTGAATGATGAGAATTGATATCAATATGTTTCAAGTAATTCTCAATAGTGATTTGTCATCCGTTCTACCTCAGTTATTCTACATTTTCTGATCACATTTTGAAGAAATAATGATAATTCGTTTTTTCAAACACCCTGTGTTTTGAGATGATGAAAATCGACACAGGTATGTTCCAAGTGATGCTGATTCAGAATCCATCATTATTTTTTCTGAAAAAAATCCATATTAGTACTTTTTGAAATATTGGTCCATGAAATTGATCACAGTTGGCCATGATTAGAGTCCAGGAATGAAATCACTCTCTTGTTGAATGGATATTTTGAATACCTATCCAACAAAAAACAGTTTTTCGGAATGGATAAGATAATTTTACAGGGGTAGTAAGTCCTTAAGGTATATGAATGACAAGATGTTGACACTTCATCAGTAGGGTAGTACGCACAAAAGGCCCCTAATAAATAGGTTGGGTTAGGATAACACTTTGTATATTTAATACAAGAATGACATCAATGTCATAGTTTGATAATATTCTGTATATTCTCAGAATATTATTTGACAAAAGATTCTGTGAATATGTTGAATATTATAATATTCTATGATCATTCTAAGGACATTCTATCACAATATTACAAAATGGGTATATTTGAACGTTGTTGTTCTAGAGTATTAATTTTTTTCTATATCATCAGAATATTTGCAAGGAATATTCCATTAATGTTCACAATATACTGAAAATATTATTTCATGAACATTCTGGAATATTATATCTCGGGAGCTTCCAGGAATGTGATTTCATAATATTATTAGAATATTCGCACCAAACAAGCCATGCATATTCGCAACTTTCTGAGAATATTTTATGAATATTCCTTAGAATATTCTACAAGATGACATTTCCGCAGCTTGGAAGAATATTCTGAGAATTTTCATGCCATCTGGGATATGAATATATTTCCATAGATTGTTGAACCATGAACAAAATAACTAATTTGTTATATGGAAATTTTTTTCATCCCAGATTCAA